GAATTTACTAAGAATTTTTAATTGATAGTCTTATAGAGGATTATACGACGCTTAATAAATGAACCTTATTTAAATATTCAGATGTTTCTTCTACCGCGCTTATTCCTGCCCCTTTCTAATTAGAATTACTCAGAGTGCGGGATCTTTTGAAAACAAAAAATTATGAATATTAATCAGATTAAAATGAGAAGAAAAGTCAAGTATCATTTTGCAAAAATCGCAATAGTTATTAAGTTATTAATGATTGAAAATGATCAAGTTTAGAAGATTTTTTAACTGACAACTTGAAAATTTGCGTATTTAATTGCAAAATGGTATAGGGCTTTTTTGTTCAGAATAACCTAATCTACAATTATATGACGGCTATTGTGTCTAGTAATAGACATGAGTATATTGAACATTGAACCCTGAATCTTGAACCTGTCGCTAAGCACAATAACTGTCATATAACTGTAGATTAGATCATTCTAAACGAACTGTAGATTAGACCATTCCAAACAAAAGAACCTTTTACCATTTTACAATTAAGTACGCAAATTTTCAAGTTATTAATTAAAAGAACCTGTAGATGTGGTTATTTTTAACCATTAATAATTTAATTATTATTTATTAATTAATTTATTAATTAATTATTAATTAATTAATTAATTAAATAATTATTGCGATATTTGCAAGATGCTACTTGACTTTCCTTCTCAGTTTGATCTTATTAATCTGCACAATTTTTTATTTTAAAAATTTTTTATTTTTTATTTTTAAAACATCCCGAACACTTTCTATGTTGCGTTTGTTTTGCGACGAACCTAACTGCTCTCATGGGCAGATGTTTGGCACGTGACGAGCAAGGATCACGAAATATATATAAACAAACGCCTGATAACCGGCACCTTTTGTCTTTTGTCCATTTCAATTTAAACAGTGAGTTTTGCTAATGATACGCAGTAAATATAATTTCTCAATAACGGTACATCTCGATTCTTTGTCTACACACATTTTATTTAAGGGTAACATTACTGCATTAATCAATGTTTACTGAAACAGATATGAAACAACACAAGACGTTCGATAGTAGGCGACGAATATTGATGCGACATGATGATCCTTCGCTTTAATACATATACAGGGTATATAAAAAGTTCCGGGATCTTTGAATATTTCAGAGGGATTACGTTTTAGAAAAAAATGTTAAATATAAATATTGTAAGATTTTAAGAGGTCTATCTATTAGTCTTATCAGTTTGACTTTGAGTGACATTGCTAAGGTCAGATTAAAGTCAACTTAACTTTTGAAATAGAAATCCCCATTTTCCATTATATATTCTTGTATCTTGCTTCGAGAGTTTTCCAAAACACTATAATAGCATATTTATTTATTAAGTACTTTTCGAATTATAAGGCTTGAAACTTACAGTACCGCCGGCATTAGCATTACGCAATATATATCACGCAGATGTGAAGGTTGCCTGGTTGGATTTACACTTCTATTATATTCGAAGGAAGATCAGAGAATGATATAGTCAATGAAGGCAAGATTGATATGATCTGTTGGAGACTGCGTTATAATAAATGTTCAGTGTCTTTCATTCACAGTTTGACAATATCCTAATTGATTGAAAAAAGATGCAATAGCATGTTTTATGTAATCCCTATAGTTAAGTGCAGTCTCATAAAGAATTATTTACCGGAGATCATCAAGATTTTGAGGTTTCGTTTTATAAACTCTACTTTTCAGCAAGCCCCATAAAAAGTAGTCCAATGGTGAAAAATCAAGTGATATTTGTGATCACCCTATCGCTCCTTTTCTTCCTATCCATTAATTAGGAAAAACTGTATCCAAAAATTTCGAACACTTATTCCATAATATGGTCTGGTACTATCGTGTTGAAACCATATGTGCTGTAAGCTGTCACCTACAATCGCATGGATCGCGTTGATCTTCCTTCGAACACAATAGAGATGTAAATCCGACCGGGCAACCTTCACGCGGTACATCTTGGTTAATGCTAATGCCGACGGTACTGTAACTTTCAAGCTTTATAACTCGAAAACTTACTGAAAAAATATGTTATTATAGTGTTTTGGAAAGCTCCTGAGGTAAGCTACAAGAATATACAATGAAAAATGGGAATTTCTATTTAAAAAAATTAAATTGACCTTAACCCAACCTTAGCAACATCACTCAAAGTCAAACTGATAAGACTAATAGATAAATCTCTTGAAATCCTACAACATTCATATTTAACATTTTTTTCTAAAACGTAACTTCTCTGAGATATTCAGGAGTCCCGGGACTTTTTATATACCTTGTATATAAGATTATATTCCTACAATACGCAATTTTACTGGCTATATTATCATGACAATTCTATTGAGTTAAAATCTAAAATACAAACATAACATATAAATGCCAATATGCATATTAAAAAATGTATACATCTATATATTTCTCTTTCTTTTAATTACATTCTATTCAAAGTACAAATACAACAAAATTATATCATTGTCATAATATCTTGCTAAACGATGTAACTACAATTTGTAACATATTACATTTACATTCTTTTATATTGCTATATTGTTAAGTGAAGTGTCATAATATTGATATAATATCATTGTTATTCATGTTTGCTCGAATATGTATAAATATCCACATATACAAACATTTTATATTACTTTAAACCTTTCACATACACACGTGTAATATAATACTTTTCTATCTTATTATATAAAAATAAAATTTTAATGTTATGTTTTAATCGGCATGTATGCAAAATATGCATCTACAACATAGTCATATAAGTCATCCCCCAATTCTTCCCTATCATTCTTATAATCCGTTCTTATAATCATTGGGTATACAAATTAGTTCGGTCCGTTTTCAAAAGATGGCTCCGGCTGTTATGAATAGTTCATAGTGACTGCCGATTTGGCGGTTTCAGAGAGGTTAGACATCTGTCAATAATATTCAGTTTATATCGCTTTGAGTTTCATACAAAAACCTTGCTTTTTACAGTGTTGAAAATGTCGAATTTTGTGTTAACCAAGCAGCATTTGCGGGAGGTTTTAATTTTCTGCTTTAATTGGAAGAAAAGTGCAGCTGAAGCCCATCGAATGTTTGTTGAAGTTTATGGTGACGCTGCTCCAACTGATAAATCATGTAGGGAATGGTTTCGACGTTTCAAGGATGGAGATTTCAGCGTCGAAGACAAGCCTCGCCCAAAAGGATATTGTTTACTATGAGCTGCTGAAACCTGGAGATCCTATTACGGGCGATCGGTATCGGCTACAATGGATACGTTTGAGCCGTGCATTGCGAGAAAAACGGCCCGAATACGAGCAAAGACATGATAAAGTTATTCTTCTTCATGACAACGCTCGGTCTCATGTCGCAAAAGTCGTAAAAAAATATTTGGAAACACTCAAATGGGATGTTTTACCGCACCCGCCGTATTCTCCGGACATTGCTCCTTCTGATTACTGGTTGTTCCAAAGGATGTAGCACGATTTGGCAGATCACTGGTTCACTTCTTTCGCAGATATCGAAAATTGGCTCCAAACTTGGATCGCCTCAAAAGACGAGTCATCTTTTCGAGATGGAATTCGAAAATTTCCTGAGAAATGGGAGAAAGTAGTAGCCAGCGGTGGAAAATACTTTAATTGATCTGTTCATTCATTTTGTTTTGAAATAAATACATCTTTTAACACAAAAAAACGGACCGAACTAATTTGTACTCCCAATACATAGAAAATTGGATGTGAGCATATGTATACCTATATACACATAAATACATGTCAGTAAGCATGCACGCACGCATGCACGCACGTACGCATACAACAGAAGATATGAAAAATATAGAATTATTACAAACAGATGTACAGAGATAAAAACACAATTTAAAACATAATTTAAAAAGGGCTAAAAATATAATTAGATATAAAGAGACCTGCTTTGGTATGCTTATTAAACGCAAATATTGTGTGTGTGTGTGTGTGTGTGTGTGTGTGTGTATGTGTGTAAACTTATGTACAAATTGTTTCATCGTGTACTTCTTCTACTTTCTCTACGCTTAATTCGACAATTTGTTTGTCTTTTGTCCTTCTAAAAATGTTGCCACAATACTCTCGATATTAACACATTTTCGATCGGTAGTAAATCGAAACGCTTCTTCTCGCGTGTGACTGTATAAAAACTACCTCTGGATAAACGCCGTAAACTTTGTAGAGGTGGGATCTTTGTCACGTGTAGTACAACGCATAAATTCAACATATTAAACATATTATTTTAAACATATTCCCATTAAACATCTCATTGCAAATAAGACAAGTAATTATCATCTCAGCGTATATCTGTATGAAATCTGTATGAATCTGATAAAATAAAATTTACTTGCGTATAACCTTATCACAGATTGAACAGGCCACTTCTGGATTCCTTTGCACATTCCAGTATTTCTTGTGCTTTAAAAAAAAATAGAGCTTATATGACCATCTTTTCGGTACTAGTAGTAATTATTCGAATGATCATGCTTTATATTTTTTTTCAGATCTTACTCGATTTTGAACTTCTCGTAGCAACCTTCCTTATTACATATGTAGTCAAAACTGTGCATATGCATTCGTGCAATATGCTATTGCAAGTACTATTTCCTATTAGCTATGTAATTGTAATAATTGCAATGCCCGCAATCCTTCTAGAGGTAATGTTTCAAATCTGCCTTTCTATCGAAACTAGTTGTAGCTTTTGCATTGGTGAGGGACATGTATGTGATTTTCAATGTTACTACTTACTCTGGAACGTTTCCCGCAAGAACACTCTTCGAGGACGATCCTACTGCTTTTTAGCACGACTGCTTTTCATTGACTTATTAAAATGAGCATATTGCATGTGTCCCTGTAAACGCTTTTGCCCATGATACTTCCTGTTATAGCCGTGCTCAGTACATACAATATCGTGCACCCATGTGATATGTCTTTGAAAGTCAGATCTTTTGTTGGTTTCGTAATCGCAACGGCTACGCTTATATGACTGACGCTTGTGGACCGTCATGTGGTGATGCATCAATCATGTTTTCTAGAGAACTTTTGGTTGCAGATTGGGCATTGTCTAAAATCTATTATGCATTCTTTAATGCTATGCTTTCTAATGTTTCCAGCACAGTTTACACACCAAAGCCGGACTCGGATCCGCATTATTACTTTCCTCCTGAATGTTAGGATGAGCACGTTGTATGTGACTCCTCAGATCTTCCTGCAGGTTACAAACAATAGCCTTACTAAGGACACGTGTAACTGTTCTTGCACTTTATTATAATGTAATTTTGTAATGTTACCTTATCGATGGTTTCGTAGTCGCAATGTTCACATTGATATAATAAATGTTTGTGCACCTTCCTATAGTGACATATCAATTCATATTTTCTAGGGAGCCTTTGATTACAAACTTTACATTCGTAAAGCATATTCTTATACTTTTTTATGTCGCTACTTCTGCTGAAATGTTTGCCGCAGGGATCACTCTCCCAAGACGGTTCCGGCTGTGCACTATTACTTTCCTTCTGGACATTAGGATGAATGCATTGTATGTGGCTATTCAGATCTTTCTGCAGATTATAAACAAAGTTATAGCCTTACTAAGGACATGTGCAACCGTTCTTGCGCTTTCGTATAATGTAGTTTTGCAATGTTACCTTATCAGTGGTTTCGTAATCGCAATGCTCACATTGATACATTAAATGTTTGTGGACCTTCCTGTAGTGACATATCAAATCATACTTTCTAGGGAATCTTTGATTGCAAACATCACATTCGTAAAGCATATTCTTGTACTTTTCGATGTCACTACTTCTACTGGAGTGTTTGTTACACGGATCACTCTCCAACAACGGTTCCAGCTCCGCACTGTTGTTTTCCCCCTGGATATTATGATGAACATGTCGTATGTGGACCTTCAGATCTTTCTGCAGATTTTAAATGAAGTTATACTCTTATTAAGTTATAGCCTTACTGAGAAGACGTGTAACCGTCCTCACGTTTTCGTATAATATACTTTTGTAAGGTTACCTCATTATTGGTTTCATAGTTGCAGTAGCTGCATATATCTGTGCCACGTCCCAAGACTTCCATGGCGTGCTGCATTAAATCTATCTCGAAATAAAAGCTTTGTTCGCAAACCTCACATTGGTAAAGCATTTCCTCGCACTTTTCAATGTCGCTGCTTCTGTTAGAGTGTTCGTCGCACGGATCACTCTCCCAGGACGGTCCCGGCTGTGCACTATTACTTTCCTTCTGGACATTAGGATGAACGCATTGTATGTGGCTATTCAGATCTTCCTGCAGATTATAAACAAAGTTATAGCCTTACTAAGGACACGTGTCCTTGCTTTCGTAAAATGTACTTTTGCAAAGTTACCTTATCGGTGATTTCGTAGCCGCAAAGCTCACATTGATGCATTAAATGTTTGTGAACCTTCCTGTAGTGATGTATCAATTCATACTTTCTAGCGAATCTTTGGATGCAAACATCACATTCGTAAAGCATATTCTCGTACTTTTTAATTTCACTGTTTCTGCTGGAGTGTTTGTCGCACGGAATACTCTCCAAAAGCGGTTCTGGCTCCACACTGTTGCTTTTTCCCTGGATATTATGATGAACATGTCGTATGTGGGCCTTCATATCTTTCTGCAGATTTTAAATAAAGTTATACTCTTATTAAGTTATAGCCTTACTGAAGAGACGTGTAACCGTCCTCACGTTTTCGTATAATATACTTTTATAAGATTACCTCATTATTGGTTGCGTAGTTACAGTAGCTGCATATGTCTGTGCCACGTCCCAAGACCTCTATGGCGTGCTGCATTAAATCTATCTCGAAATAAAATTTTTGTTCGCAGACCTCACATTGGTAAAGCATATTCTTGCACTTTTCAATGTCGCTGCTTCTGCTGGAATGTTCATCGCACGGATAATGGTCCATAGATGATTCCAGCTTCGCACTATTATCCAGAATTTCATCCTGGATGTGAGTATAAATATATCGTATGTGGCGCTTCAGATCTTCCTGCAGATTATAAACAAATTTATAGCCTTACTAAGGATACATGTAGCCGTCCTTGCGTATAATGTACTTTCGCAGAATTACCTTATCGATGGTTTCGTAGTCGCAATGTTCACATTCATGCATTAAATTTTTGTGGACCATCCTGTAGTGACATATCAATTCATACTTTCTACAAAACCTTTGGTTGCAAACATCACATTCGTAAAGCATATTCTTGTACTTTTCGATGTCACTGCTTCTGCTTCTGGAATGTTTGCCGCACGCATTACTCTCCAAAGACGATGCCGACTCCTCACTGTTGTTTTCTTCCTGGATGTTAGGATGAACATGTCGTATGTGGATCTTCAAATTTTCCTGCATATTATAAACAAAGTTATAGCCTTACTAAGGACACATGTAACTCTCCTTGTTCATATAATGTACTTTGTAAGGTTACCTTATCATCGGTTTTGTAGTTGCAGTGACTGCATATATCTGTGCCACGTTCAACGACCTCTATCATGTGCTGTATTAAATCTGCCTCGCAATAAAAGCTTCGTTCGCAGATCTCACATTGGTAAAGGATATTCTTTTTAATGTCGCTGCTTCTGCTGAAATATTTGCTGCACGGATCACTGACCAAAGACGGTACTGGCTCCGCACTATCATAGTCCTCCTGGATATTAGGATGATCATGTTGTATATGACTCCTCAGATCTTCCTGCAGATTAGAAACAAAGTTATAATCTTAATAAGGACACGTGTAACTATCCTTTTGCCTTGGTATATTGTAGTTTTTTAATGTTACCGTATCGGTGGTTTTGTAGTCGCAATGTTCACATTGGTGCTTTAAATGTTTTTGGACCTTCCTGTAGTGACATATCAATTCATACATTCTAGAGAACCTTTGGTTGCAAACATGACATTCGTAAAATATATTCTTGCGCTTTTCAATGTCCCTGCTTCTGCTGGAATGTTTGCCGCACGCATCACTCTCCAAAGATGGTGTCGGCTCCGCACTGTTGCTTCCCTCCTGGCTGTTAGACTGAACACGTCGTATGTGGTTCTTCAGATTTTCCTGCAGATTATAAACACAGTTATAGTCTTACTAAGGACACGTGTAACCGTCATTACACTTTCGTATAATGTACTTTTGCGGAGTTACCGTATCGTTGGTTTTGTAATCGCAATGTAGACATTGGTGCGTTAAATGTTTGTGGTCCTTCCAGTAGTGAAATATGAATCCATACTTTCTTAGGAACCTTCGGTTGCACAGATAACATTCGTAAATTTTGATCTTTTTAATTTCTTTGCTTGTGGTAAAATTTTTGACGCACAAGTCACTCTCCAAGGACGGTTCTGGCTCCGCACTATTACTTTCATCCTGGATGTTAAGATGAACATGTATGTGGTTCTTTATGTCTTCCTGTAGATTATTAACAAAGTTATAGTTTTACCATAGACATGTGTAACCGTCTTTGCGCTTTCGTATAATATACTTGCAAGGTTACCTTATCATTGGTTTCATAGTTGCAGTGGCTGCATATCTCTGTGCCTCGTTCGAAGACTTCTATGACGTGTTGTATTAAATCTATCTCAAGACAAAAGCTTCGTTCGCAGATCTCACATTGGTATGTCATACTTATTCACTTTTTAATCCGGCTGCCTCTTCTTAACGTTTACCGCACGGATCGCTCTTCAAGAACTGTTCTGGTTTCTTTCTGTCGATTTTCTTCTAATTGAGATTTTGCCCTTTTACAATTTGATCGGTACTATAATCTGTTTACAACCACACCGTTTAACTTTGTTTTTCTTCGGGAATTGTCTAATTATTTATACGTTTCAAAGAAATAAGTTTTAATGCGCACTACGTATGTTCGACGAACTATTTGACTACTATTTGAAATTATTAGTAACTATGATATTCACAGTATCCAAAAGCGAAATATCAAACAAACAGGAAAGATTGCGTCAAGTTGGCTGCGAATAGTTTGAAACATTTCTCGTGAGAGAAACACATAAAGTAACCGTCGCTAGTGATGGTCGGTTATAATAGAAATCAAACTCTTATGTTGATGTTATCCGAGCGTTCTCTGAGCGAAGGGAACTATCCGAGGACAATTTTCGAATCGAGATGTTTACATTACTCAGATAAGCAGAATATTCAAAAAGAATATAACTTTCTTATATATAATTCTCTTGAACACATTATGATATATTTTGATATGTACTATATGTTGTTACATATTTTTATATATATTGCATATTATAATATATTTATATATATATATATATTTATATGTTTTTAAATATGCACATACTCTCTCATGTACACACATACACACACACACACATATACATATATACATCATATATTGTCTTATATTTTTGTTCCTTTTCATACGATACTGTTGCTTTTTATGCGTTGTTAATTGTTATAGTTGTTTATATATTTTTGTTGTTTTGTATAAACCGATCTAGCAGATGTGATGCTTTAAAAATATATTGGCACTCTTGATTGATTCGCAATTAAAATTTACTCATTTCTATCAAAATGTATGACGTTTCGGTCGGAACAATTATTGCTGCCACAATTATAATCATTCATTATAAACTATTCTACCTTTCATTACAAAACTACATTACAAGACATACAAGACATTGGGAAAACTAGGTAAAACTTTTTCATACCATTATTTGTATGTAAAAATATGCTGCATTACCGTATATAAAAATATAAAATTACAAGTAAAACTTATACAAGCGCAACATGTATTGTGTTATTTTTAGAAATTTCAAATTCAAATTTTTTTTTTAAAGGTATATATATGTACATATCAAGTTTTACAAGTAAAACTTAAAGATAATACATAAGATTTTACAAGTAAAACTTATAAAAACTTACCTTTTTAAACAAAAAGGTAAAAAAAGGCGCCAAATACAAGCGCAACAAGTATTGTGTTATTTTTAGAAGTATCAAACTCAAATTATTTTTTTTACTGTATATATGTGTACATAAGTTTTTACAAGTAAAACTTATAACTATAATAAAACTCTGCAACACTTTTCCACTGTACAAAAGAAATGATATATTATTGAATAGAATAGTAGCGCCAACTGAGAAACCTAACATATATATACAGGGTGGACCATTTTAACCTTTAATGGAGAATAACTCGACCGGTGAGCGAAATAATGAAAAAAGTTTCATACAAAAGTTGTTGGACAAGGAGGGGGACGTATGACCATATCCTTGAATTTGACCTTGACTTTGACCTTAGGGGTTATTTGAAGGTCAAATAACATTTTTAAATTGGAATTGCCTATTTTCGACCCCGGATTTGGAAAGAGCGGGAAATTTTAGAATAGGATATGGTATGATCGATAAGATCAAATGTCATGTTTTGAGGTCATTTCAAAGTCAAAAGGAACTTGTACGTGTATTCATGCGAAAATCGTATCTGTATACGGGGATTTCTAAATTATCTTCTACACTTAGCATTACCCAGAGACAACGACGTGGACGTGGTAGAATTCTGCCTCTTTCGGGGTGCTTGTTTAGAGTGAGTCCCCTTGCCCTCTCACTATGCATACTTTGCTATTGTTAATCTAGCTATTCAAAAGGTTTTCGAAAGTTGCACCGTTAGCATTTATACAATAATTGAGCCTTCTTTGGAAATGGGCCACTGTGCTGAGCAAGACATTTCGTGGAATCGCTTCACAAGCTCGTCTTATGCGATTTTCCATATCTTCTCTTGTTGTTGGTTCTTCTTTGAAAACAACTTCTTTCAAATAGCCCCAGAGATAAAAATCGAGTGACGTCAAATCAGGAGAACGAGGAGGCCATGCAATCGGACCCTCTCGACCAATCCATCGGTTCGAGTACCTTTCATCTAAAAACCTCCTGACTATACGTGCAAAGTGCGGTGGTGCACCATCCTGTTGGAAGAACATCCTTCGCCTGGTTTCCAAGTCTACGTTCTCCAACAAATGAGGCAATTGGTCTGTGAGCAAATCGAGGTACGTATTTGCATTCACAGTACGTTCGAAAAAGAATGGACCGACCAAGTATCCATTAACAATCCCGCACCAGACATTGAGGCTCCAACGGTGTTAATTGTCAATCGCTCTATGCCAGTGCGGATTGGTATCGGACCAATAATGGCAATTATGCCGGTTCAACTCCCCTGTGTTCTTGAACGTCGCTTCATCGGAAAACATCACAAATCTAAAAAAATTAGGGTCCCGATCGATCTGCTGTAAGGCCCACCGGCAGAACTCGAGGCGTCGATCAAAATCGGCAGGTAATAATGTTTGGGTCAAAGTGATATGATAAGCATGGTACTTCCGAGCCTTCAAAATCCGCAAGATTGTGGACTTCGGTATTCCTGTGGATACCTCCAGTCTACGGCTCGAAATATGAGGATCGAGATAGACCGATGCCAAAATAGTCAGCACTCGAACGTCATTCTCGTCATATTCGTGATGACGACGTTGACGTGTCATTTGCCCAGTACGTGCCCTCGTGGTCAAATTTCTGATCGTCACGTTACACGGATGTCGTCTCCTCGGAAAGCGCTGAGCGTAAAGTGCTGCGGCATTCACATAGACACCTCGACATTCTCCTAAAATATAAATCATATCAACGATCTCATTGAGTGTATAATCTCCCATTTTAATCACACCAGATCTCTGCTTATTAATACTAAGAGACAAGCTGTATGATAATAATTGAGTTTTATCTCAGTGAACAATATTTATTATATTAGCTTTATAATAATTATTGTTATAATTATTATTATCAATATTATTTTTGGGCGGATAATGATAATAATAACAATGATAACACTATTTTGTATTCTCAGCGAATAATTCCTTACGAGTGAAAAATGTGAGCATTACTCGGAAGCGACGTGGACATATTGTCTTTCTCTGCGTGCTCCTACCGGCCACATGTGAATGCTCGGTTCGAGCCGAGCGTCGGCTTGAAGGTGAGGTTCACCTTCAAGCCGACGCTCAAGCCGATCATTTGTACACCTCTTGATTCATTGCGATCGAAAACCGAGAGGAATAAAAATCCTTGAATTACGATGGCAAAGGGTCAACGTTTATATCTGCGCTCGCGCTTCCGCGAACTGAAATCAACCTAACCTAAGTTTTAACCTAACGGTTTAACTAACAAAACTATATATTTTGTTACAGATTCGCAGCTGAACGCGGCTGACTCTGTCTGCTGTGAGTCAGAGAAGACCAGACATTTTTATGGTGATAGGTGTTTGCAATATCTCGAGAAAATCAATGCGATTTAATTATACTTTTTCACATGTTGCTCGAAATAATCAGGAGATCGTGTCTTTCAATGTCCGTATTACATAACAGAATCTTTAAGATATAATATATATTTATCTCTTTTATATTTACTCTGAATCATTAGAAGATACAGATATAAATGCTTTAGTTTGTTATTATATTGAAATCGAGATATGGAATTATTTGCTGTGATTCAATCAATATAACTCCTGCTTCGAGTAGTGTGTGATGTTAAAATTTGATCAGAATTGCGCCATCGCACGTGAAATTTATTATTATTAACTTATTCTTGACAAATTGACGGCTTGACAAATTTTATGTCTGTCGAGTTTATCAATTTTCTGCATTTTTCACACGTGTCAGAAGGGATAATATTTCATTTGAAATTACCGATAAATTCGGTACGCACGTTTATTTACATTACAACTTAGTCCTTACGAAACAAGATGTGCATTTCTTACGAAATACCGTTTGCGAAACAAAACATTTTCGTTTTTTCTCTCTTGTCTAAACGTCATAATTTTCATTTGCGATTGATTCTACGCAAATCGCGTCTCACGTATACATTCTCGGAACGTTGCAATTCATCGTGTTTATTTCTTTTTGGGATAAAAATCTCATCACTTGAACGCGACCATATATGCTTCTTTGCCTCACCATTCCTTTTCCTTAAATCCCATCGAAATTAATGAAAGAGAAAAGATAAACAAAGAGAAAGAAAAAGCGACAAAATATCGTGAAAAAAGAAACTTCTTCTGGATGTCCAGGAAACTGGATATTGGACGGATGCAAAGTCACAGGAGTCACGAAAGTCGATTAGTGTGCAGATCAAACGCTCAGAAAGCGTCATGTTTTATAATGCATGCTCATATATAAATCGCATTGGTTTTCGACCAGAGATAATAAAAATAGTGCGCGGTAATATGCGTTCATATCTAGTTTAATAAAAATGTGAATTGTGAGAAGCACTGTTTGCTTTCTCTCTGATTATTGCGGAAATATTTATTCTGCGAAAATTATACGCGGAACCTTGAGAGTGATAATGGATAAGATATATATGGACGAATGAAAAACCATACTGATTGCACTGAAGCTGGCTTTTTTTTACAACACTTTATACGAATATTAATCCGATATTTTGTGCATAATATTTATGCGCAGTGTCAATTTAAGAAAATTTAACGAATTACTTCTGCGGCAGTATCTTCCTTGATATACACCGACATATTTTTTCTCATGCTCGTGCTTCGGCTTCGAGCTAACAAAAATACTAGCGACCGCGTTCCTCATCAATGTGACCCCGGCGATGTTCACACCTCGGCAGGCGCGATCACGTGCTCGTTGTTCACGTCCGATAATTTTCAATATGTCCATTTCTTTCAGCGAAGACGCGTTTGATTAATCAGGCTAAATGGTATCCCAATAAAGAGAGTAATAAAGAGAAGTGCCTGACAGTTCTTATCTCATCCCGTACCATCTGGTTTTACATCAGCGCGAATGACAATTGAATTGATATAACTTTGTTTAATAACGATCACGCGCAATATGCAAAAACAAACGAAGACAAGAAAAAAATATTGGCGAATGCGCGTCGACCAAAATATTCAAATGTTATCCAGCAATCTACAGTGCCGACGATTGGGGCGCTAATGATGAATCGATTGACGATTATCGGAGCGCGTAATTCGAGCTTCCCCAAAAGGGAACCAAATAATGTTTAT